TAAACCTATACTTTTAAAGGGAGTATGATATTTTTTGCAAAATTTTAATTTTCTAGGGGTTGTTAGTAATTTTATATATTCATTTTAGTGTCTATAGGCTAGAAATTCTCATGGTATTTTTTTATAAATTATGAATTTCAGGGGCTTTTTGCAATTTTTTAAACTTATACGTCTTTTCTACAGATTGTAAATTGTTTATAGCATATTTATAATTCCTATGTTTTCAATTTACTAATGAGTTTGAAATTCTCAGGGTGCTTTTTATAATATTTGAATTTTGAGGGTTTGTTTGTAATTTTTAAAACTTTAAGGGTGTTTTATTAAATTATAAATTATATAAGGGATATTTATAATTCTTATATTTTTAATGTACTGTTAAGTTAAAAATTATCAGGATTTTTATAAATTTTATAATTTTTAGAGTTTTATTTATAATTTGTAAAAAGATTAGAGTGTTTATTACAAATTTCATAAAATTTGGGGGTTTTTTGTGTTATTTATTCGTTTTTAATGTGTTTATATGTTTAAAATATTCAATGTGTTTTTTATAAATTTTGAATTTTTAGGGGTGTTTCTGTAATTTTTTAAACTTACAATATATTTTCTCCAAAGTTAAAAAACATTTAGTTGCTAGCTAGCATATATTTTTCAGATTTCTTACTAAATTAAAATAAGTAAAATTATAATTTTTAAGATGTTTTAATAAAATTTTAAATTTGTAGGGATGTTTTTACAATTTAAAAAAACTTGGAGGATATTTTTTTATAAAGTTCAAAAACTTTTAGGTGCTAGCACATGTTTTTTAGATTTTTCTGTGAACTGAAATAAGTAAATGATTTGAATTATATCAAATGTATCTCATTTATCATATAACATGTTAAATCTTATTATGAATATGATAAATCATTTAATTATCAATTCAAAAAAATTGGATAATTAGAAGGGAAAAATGTTTCTGGGCCCCAAAAAAATAAAAGAGATGTGCCCCAGCCCCCTCTTATTTTTCCCTTATGTTTCAGGCCTTTCACACTCTCCCAGAAATTTGTTTTCTAAAATTACCCTTCCCCTGTTCTTCTTCTTCTTCTTCTCCTCTGCCTCCTCTCCCCTCTCTTCTTCTTCTTCTCCTTCTCCTCTTCTTCTTCTCCAGACCTTTGCCCATACGCCCACCCGTCCTCCCTACCCCCTCACCGGGCCCCGTCCCCGACCTCCTCCGCCTCCTCCGTCAATATCCCTCTGCTTAATCGATTTGGGAAGACCTTCGATTGGTCTTTGAAGCCCAACCTGATGGGGATTGCTTGCACACAAGGTACAATCTTTATTAATTGAGCTTGAGTTGGAGTTTTTGAATTTGATTGAGTTTTTAAGTTCATTGTATTGGATTTTGGGCTTTCTTGTTCGATTTGTGATTAAATTGAGTGTTTTGATGTTGAATTATGTCAATGTATTGAGGATTTGATGTGGATCTGTTCTTTGTCTTGAATTCTTGCAAGCAGATGCCTGGTGAGATTTCTTGCACACAATGTGTTTGATATAATGCATTGGTAAGAAGAAATGGTTTTATTGGAGAGAATGGCTCAATCTCAGGCGTGTGTTATAATTTGATGGAATTAAACAAGATTTGAGACTGATGAAAAAAATCTATGCAGGTGAAAACCCAGAGATGATTAGTTGTTCAGAATAATAGTTTTGATTTGTCTTAGTGAGTGCATTATGTGGTGAGAGAAGAATGGACAGTTGAAGTTTTTGATAAGGGAATGCTCTATGAAGGAGTGCCTGAAGATAGAATGGTGAAGCTTCTTCAGATTGCATTGAAGTGCATATACAAATCTGTCGATGCTCGACCAACTATGAGCTAAGTTGCCGAGATGATACATTCATTGAAGGAAGAAGAGGATAGGTCTATTGTGTCTGAAATTGATTCAAGAGATGCTTAAAATTGGGGAGTCTGTTTTTATAATATCCTGGAATTTATGTATATGTTCCGTTTGACTATTATTATTTGCTAGTGTATATGTGTTGGTCACATATGAGGAGGTGGAAAACATTGTTTATTTGTTACACTGATGACATATGTGATATTAGTCCAAATGGTGCTTTCAAACTCAAATTTAATAAACGAGGATGTCTATTTATTGTTGATTTCTTGTTTCATGGTCTCCTTGACATTAGAAAATAAATAGATTCTTGTCACATATTTTCGTTAATGGACTGTGGTAGAGACACTAATTGCATTATTTAAAATAATGATGGGTCATCTCTGTGTTGCTAATTCAAATGGCACTTTCAAGTTGAAATTTGACAAAACCTAGCACTAATTTGCATGAAGTGTGTACTCATAACATGTTAAGTTTTAACTAATCATGTTAACGTTCATCATAACATGCTAACTTTCAGCTGAACATGTTAACTTTCATCATAATATGTTAACATTTATATTATATGTTAACTTTCATCATAATATATTAAATTGAAGCTATAATAGTTGCATGTTAAGATTATTGAGTTCTTGTATATCTTTGGCAGAAAAACAAAAGTGAAAAATAAAAACAGGAGAAAGAAAGGGGAAAATGTTAACTATAATAGTTTTATGTTGACTTTTAGCAGAACGTGTTAACTTTCAGCATAGTATGTTAACTTTTCATATTGAATGTTAACTTTTGCTGCTTTATGTTAACTTTCATCCAAACCTGTTAACTTTCACTGCTTTATTTTCGTAGAAGCGTTTAAAAAAAGCTATGAATGTAATTGGTGATTGGTATGGATTGCTTATTAGTATAATATTTTTGGTAGAGCAATGTAGGTTGTCAAGACTTTTGTAGCACATTGTATTATATTTTTATAATATCTAAGATTGTAAGTCTAATCATATCGTTTATTCAAGCAATATCAGCTATAAGAATGTAAAAATTTTATTATAGTGAACATTAACATGTTTGAAAGTTAACATGTTATGATGAATGTTAACATGTTCAGTTAAAAGTTAATATATTATGGTGAAAGTTAACATGTAATAGTGAAGGTTAACATATTATGCTAAAATTTAACATGTTCAACTGAAAGTTAACATGTTACGAAGAGAACTAACATATAACGATGAAAGTTAATATGATTTATGAAGAAAATTAACATGATATTATGAAAGTTAAACATGTAACAGTGAAAGTTAACATATTATGATGAACGTTAACATGTTTAGCTGAAAGTTAACATGTTACGATGAGAGTTAACATATAATGGTGAAAGTTAACATAATTTATGAAGAAAGTTAACATATAATGAGATTTAATAGTGTATTGTAACTTGAAGATTATGTACATGATTTGTATATATTATTATGTACACAATAACCTCAAGATTATGTGCATATTATGTATCATAATATTCAGGTTTTGATAAACATAATTTATATATAATCTTCAGTTTATTATGCACATTAAGTTCTATTTGAATGAACGTCAACATGTTCTTCCTTTAATGAATGTATCATCTCGGCAACTTAGCTCATAGTTGGTCGAGCATCGGCAGATTTGTATATGCACTTCAATGCAATCTGAAGAAGCTTCACCATTCTATCTTCAGGCACTCCTTCATAGAGCATTCCCTTATCAAAAACTTCAACTGTCCATTCCTCTCTCACCGCAGAATGCACTCACTAAGACAAACCAAAACTATTATTCTGAACAACTAATCATCTCTGGGTTTTCCCCTGCATAGATTTTTTTCATCAGTCTCAAATCTTGTTTAATTCCATCAAATTATAACACACGCCTGAGATTGAGTCATTCTCTCCAATAAAACCATTTCTTCTTACCAATGCATTATATCAAACACCTTGTGTGCAAGAAATCTCACCAGGCATCTGCTTGCAAGAATTCAAGACAAAGAACAGATCCACATCAAATCCTCAATACATTGACATAATTCAACATCAAAACACTCAATTTAATCACAAATCGAACAAGGAAGCCCAAAATCCAATACAATGAACTTAAAAACTCAATCAAATTCAAAAACTCCAACTCAAGCTCAATTAATAAAGATTGTACCTTGTGTGCAAGCAATCCCCATCAGGTTGGGCTTCAAAGACCAATCGAAGGTCTTCCCAAATCGATTAAGCAGAGGGATATTGACGGAGGAGGCGGAGGAGGTCGGGGACGGTGCCTGGGGAGGGGGGTAGGGAGGACGGGTAGGGGGTGTGGGCAAGGGTCTGGAGAAGAAGAAGAGGAGGAGAAGAAGAAGAAGAAGAGAGGGGAGAGGAGGCAGAGGAGAAGAAGAAGAAGAAGAGGGGAAGGGTAAATTTGGAAAACAAATTTCTGGGAGAGTGTGAAACGGCTAAAACATAAGGGAAAAATAAGAGGGGGCTGGGGCACATCTCTTTTATTTTTTTGGGGCCCAGAAACATTTTCCCTTAATTAGAATAGATTAAGATAATAACGTAATATTCAAAAAATTTAAGGGTAATATTGCCCATGGAAAGAACCCGAACTCGTAATGATTTTAATCGCCAATCATCCAATAAACAACATTCATTTAAAAATTTCAAGGCAAACTTTTATCACTCTATCCCGATTTTCTTTTTCTTGAAGAAATTAGGAACAAACTATAACTGGAAATTGTTCACAAAAGTAAAAATCTTATCTAAGGCTTTTATTTGCTTTGTCCGCCTCATTTGGTCGAGTCAACCGGACCGGCGCCCTAAACCTCTACCACCTATAAAAACGATCCCCTCAAGTTCCCTCTTTTCAACCCAAAACCAGGAGACGGCTAAAACGCAGAAAACACCCTGACATTTGCAGATAATTTGCTGTAAGCCCCTCCCTAATTTCTAGGGTTTGCTTTCTGTATCTATTCGAATTCCTTTGATTTCTCGCTAATTGCAGTTTTGACCTCATAGGAAATTGATAGAGTGAAGATTTCCCTAGGTCGATTTGTGATTTTGATTAGCGATGCCTCGATCGGTGTCCCGATCGCCTTCGC